TTAGTCCAGAGGCTTAGGAGCCCCCCCCCCAGTCCAGGGGCTCGGCTGGGAGGTGGGGTGGGTGGTGGCACCAGGCAGCACAGCTGTGTGGCTCCCAGGGCTGGGTGATCGATGGTCCCAGCACAGCCGCCTCTGTCTCCAGATCTCACACACCCATTTGTCATCTGTATCTTGGGGGGGTAGGGGCGGGGAGGGGGCCTGCCTCTGCACCCATCGTCATGTCCAGTGAGTGCCTGCAGCTCCTTGGAGAGCCGCAGTTCCTTTCTTGGCCCCAGCCCCGTCCTCTCAACCCCTGCACACCTCTCAGAGCCCCGTCCCCTCCTAGATACAGACATTCATTCACAAGCCGATCAGTTAAGCTCTGCTTGTGCCACCCTCCACACCCTGGCCACAGCCATGCCAACCTCTCCTCTGCAGGGTCCATTCAGATGGGCAGTACTCTCCACCCCTCTGGCCGTTTCCATTAATGGAGGTGCCTACCCAGTGTTTGGGGGCAGCAGACACGACTGCCTGCTGTGTGCAGAGCCCAAAAACCAACAGGGAAGATGGCCTGCTCCTAATGTCCAGCTGCCCCAGCCCTGCCCTGCTCAGCCCACTGGCAATCCCTGAGCCCTGGGTAGCAGGGCGAGTGTATGTGTGTCCACAACTATGAGTGGCTGTGATTGTGTGTGTTTTGGGGTTGGGGGTGTGTGCGTGCTGTGCTGAGTGCATGCATGTGTGCAGTGACCTTGCCCCTCTGAGTGGGGTGTGAGCCTCATGTGTACATGTGCTCGGACTCCTTGCATTTTGGTGGCCCACCCTGTTCTCTGTTTCACGTCAGCCCAGCCATGCAGAGGTGGTCCCTCCAGGCACCACGTGAGGGGTCTTTGGAAGCCCTGCATGCTTGTGTGCACACACTCACCGAGCACCCAGCTAAGACGCGCACTGGGGCGGTGTATGGCCCAGGTGGCAACCCAGATGGAGAGCGTCTTGAGCGATTGTGTGGGGCGTGGGGAGAGGAGGGTCTTGGCCAAGCTGGGCCGCTGCAGGCTTGGCCGCTGACATGCCTGCAGCCACCCAGATGGAGCCAGGCTGAGCAGGTGGCTGTGCCATGGGGCCGTGTTGGGACATCCACGCCCCCCAGCCTGGACTGGCCCACGTGAGGCTGGCCCCCTCTGAGACCTCAGTGCCCACCTGACGCCCTGCGGAGCAGAACTCACATTGTTAATCAGGCGCTTAGAGCGTCTGCTGGTCTCTCATCTCATGGCTTATATCTCTGTTCCCACACGGGCATGGGTCTCTGGAGGAACTAAGACAAGGAAGGGCTGTGTACCCTAGGAAGGAATCTGGTCATACTTGGCTTCTTCCCGTCACTCTCCAAATGCCTGTTGGGTAGATGGAGACTCAAGCTCCGATGGTGTGGGGGCAATGGGCATGGATGGAATCACCCCAGGAATGAGCCTCCTGGGGGCTGGCCAGGCCTGGGGGGCAAGGTGTGTATAGGCTCCATCAATCAAGTAAACCTAAATTTCAGATAAACAACAAATACGTTTTTAGTGTACATTCCAAATACTAGCTAGGCCAGACTTATACTAAAAAAGTATTTACTATTTGCCTGTGTCAGATTTGACTGGGCATCCTGTGTTTTTATCCACCACGTCTGCTGACCCTACAAGTGTGGGTGAGATGAACTAGGAGGGAGGCGGGGAGGCTGTTCCAGGCCGGGGCTGTGCATGCCAAAGCCAGGGAGCCCGAGGGCCAAGGGGTGACAGTGTCCCAGCTCTTATCCTTCGAGCTGTGACAGAGGGGAGGGGGCGTTGGTCAGAGCAGACAGTGCTGACCGAAGCCCCCCTCCGCAGGTCGCCATGGTGCCAGGGCCAGCCCACTAGCAGGCTGTCATGTCCCGAGAGGCAGGCTCGTGCCGCCTGGGCCCCGGCGCGCGGGCCCGGGCGCGGAAGCCCAAGAAGCCGCACTACATCCCGCGGCCCTGGGGCAAACCGTACAACTATAAGTGCTTTCAGTGCCCCTTCACCTGCCTGGAGAAGTCGCATCTCTACAACCACATGAAGTACAGCCTCTGCAAGGACTCCCTCTCACTCCTGCTGGACCACGCCCCGGCTGCGCCCCGGCCACGTGCACCCACCCCGGACTGCGCCTCCGACCCCACACACCCCGGCAGCCGGCCACGAGGAGCGCGGCTCCTGGATGCTCCTGCCACACCCGACCTCATTGTCTCCGATGTCCTTTCCCTGCGCCGCCGTGGTGGGGGCCCCAGGCCAAGGGCTGAGGGGTCCCCAGGGACACCACCCCCTGAGGTCAGGGACACTCCAAAGAGTGTGGGCCTCAGTGGTCTCCTGGCCGAGTCGTGGAAGCCAGGGCCGGGTGAGGGATCAAGGAGCGCGGCCATGGTGGACACGGCTGCTGGGGGCCCTGAGAGCAGCGTCCCCTGCTACCCACCCCCCACCCCCAGTGAGTTCCCGGAGGCCCAGAGCCTCCACCTGTCCCTGCTGGGTGTCAACTACCCTCTTGGCCCTGGCCTCTTTTCCTACCTGGGGCCCTCCCTGGCTGCTGCAGCCCACATGCCCTTCCTGGCCTCAGCCAGCCCCCTGCTGCCCCCAGCCGCTGCCTTCCCTGCCCCACAGCCCCCGGAGCGCCCAGCCCTGGTCCCTCGCCTGTACTACCCCCTGCTCCTCGAGCACACCCTGGGGCTGCCGGCGGGCAAGACTGCCCTGGCCAAGCCCCCTGCCCCCCACAAAGGGCCCCCCGGGACTCTGGCCCCTATGTTGCTGAAGGCACCGATACCTGGGCTGGGTGGGTCCTGGCCTGGTGGTGCTCTCAGGGGCCCAGGGCAGGAGGGGGAGGCTGGAGAGAGCTGCCCAGAGTGACCCCAAGAGGAAACTGCCCTTGGGAGGCAGGCCGGAGCCCCCGAAGGCCCCCTGCAGCAGGCTGAAGTTCAATTCCCACAGCAGGTGGGTACTAGGGGCCCAGTAATGGGGGTGTGAGGGGAAATGGGAGGAGGACTGTGCGGGAGGCTGGGCCCCTGGCCTTAACTCAATCACCAGGAGTACGGGCTTCAGGCCACAGAGCAGAGACTGAGACCAGAGAGCCAGCCTGTCCTTCCTTTTGGGGTTCCCAGGCTGTAGGCCAGGGCAATAGACTAGACTCGGGCGTGAGGGGAAAGAGGGCAGCCCAGCCTCCTGACTGGCTCCTCCCCACCTCCAGTCTGCAGGCTGGCCCCTCCATCATGCTCTGGCCCGAGGACAAGGAGCCAGGTGACCTCAAGAACCCTGGCCCTGAGACCCCTCTCCCCCAGCAACCGCTGGGCCTCGTGCTGGGGGGCCCTGGGCATGTGGGTGAGGACCTGACTCTGGCCCTTGGCGACTGTGCCAGGGCAGAGCAGCGCCTGGGCCAGTTGGCGCCTACTGGGGGCCTGGCCCCACGGCCTCTGAGGGAGCAGTTGGGGAAGATCCGCCGGGAGCTGCTCACCATCCACCAGGCACTGGAGCGGGCCGCATGGCCACCTGACACACCCCTTGACCTCTCTGTGAAACGGGCATCCACCAAGGTGCCTG